AGCTAGAAAGAAAAGATTATTTAGAAAGAAAGATAGTATAGTTAGAAAGAAAGATAGATTATCTAGAATGAAAGAAAGATAGATTAGTTAGAAATATAGATGGATTAGATAGATAGATAGATAGATAGATAGATAGATAGATACATAGATACATAGATACATAGATAGATACACAGATAGATACATACATAGTCTATACATAGATAGATAGATCATTTGGACACAGAAAGTCAAATAGTTAAGACAGGCAGATGGATAGAAGAGGATAAAAGGAAGAGTAGAAAGGAGAAGAGATTATGAAAGGAGGGTAGAATAGGAGGACAGGAGGAGTAGAGGATTGGAGGAGGAGAAGAGGAGGGAAGAGAGAGGGAGAACAGGAGAAGTAGAGGCATAAATGCAACAAAAACTTGTAGTATCCTTCAGAAAAGAGCTGAGTGACTGTCCACCAATAAGAACACAGGACCAATTATGTGTGTCTCCCTTTGATCTTTGCTAATCAGCATCACCTGTGCAATCAGCTTTCCTATTTAGACAGAGGCCAAAATTGCTGATACTTGGCCTCGAACAAACCTCAATAGAGACAAAACTATAGGTTGTATTGGCGAAATGACCTGACCGTGAGCGAGACAAGGCCTTTGTGAACGATGTGATGTATTTTTTTTGTGGATAGAGTTAAAAAAAGGGACCACTTTGGCAAGTTAAAAAACTGGTTTGTATTGCTCTGATCACAAAAGTTTGACCTGAATTTATAATTGCTGCCAATGGAGGAATGTCTGTCACTCTTGTCCTTTGGAAGGACACAGTGAAAAAACTATAAGTCCCAGGGATTTACTAAACACATGAGAGGAACCACAACAAAAATACCTACGTTTCAAGTATAATTTTATGCCCAAAGAGTGAAAATTGTGGCCAGGCCAGCGATTTAAAAATTATTTTTTAACATTAGGTTTCAAGCTGGCTCACTCTAGCACGTGCTCTAGCTCTGAACAGTCTCTCTCATTCACTCCCATTATAATTTCAGAAACGGGTTGAAAAACATCATGAGACTAAAGTAGAGATTGTGAAAAAAGTATAATAGATATCAAAAAGTTGAATACAACTTTAATAGCTTACAAATTTCTCAACATTTTAAAGTTTAAATGACAGAAATAGCTGAAAGTATGCAGAAGTTGTAGGCTGTGAAAGCAGAAGGAGCATAAAACAGAATTTGAAGAATTCTCCATTGACTTCCATGTTAAAAAATATGCACAAAAAGTTTAATAATTTAAAAATTATAAAGGTTATAAAAAAGAAAAGTAATAGCACACATGTCCTTGAAAAGCTGCACATTTTGATACTTGAATGGTTTTTGTAGCACAAAGTAGAGAGGAGAAGAAAGCGACCGAAAAACGTACGGAAGAATACGGAATAATAAGAAAGATTTGGATTTCAAGAGTGTGAATGCTTGAAGCATTCACACTAACTAGAAAAAAAAGTTTGATGACACAAACTTTAAGTTGGCTTGAGAAAGCCAGACCAGAGCGTTTGAAGAATCTTGAAGTTTGAATGAAGTTTTAAAGATGGAATTAGAAAGAAAGAAAGAAAGAAAGAAAGAAAGATGGATAGATTAGTTAGAAAGATAGATTAGTAAGAAAGAAAGATAGATAGATAGATAGATAGATAGATAGATAGATAGATAGATAGATAGATAGATAGATAGATAGATAGATAGATGTTTTTGGCAAGAAGCTAACATGATTAGCATGTAGCTAGCTTGATGCTAATATGATTAGCATGTAGTTAAGATGATTAACATGTTGTTAACATGATTAGCATGTAGCTAGCATCATAATAGCATGATTAGCATGTTGCTAGCATCATGCTAACATGTTTTTAGCAAGAAGCTAGCATGACTAGCATGTAGCTAGCATCATGCTAGCATGATTAGCATGTTGCTAGCATCATGCTAGCATGTTTTTAGCAAGAAGCTAGCATGATTAGCATGTAGCTAGCATCATGCTAGCATGATTAGCATGTTGCTAGCATCATGCTAGCATGTTTTTAGCAAGAAGCTAACATGATTAGCATGTAGCTAGCATCATGCTAGCATGATTAGCATGTTGTTAGCAAGAAGCTAACATGATTAGCATGTAGCTATCATCATGTTAGCATGATTAGCATGTTGCTAGCATCATGCTAGCATGTTTTTAGCAAGACGTTAGCATGATTAGCATGTAGCTAGCATCATGCTAGCATGATTAGCATGTTGCTAGCATCATGCTAGCATGTTTTTAGCAAGAAGCTAGCATGATTAACATGTAGCTAGCATCATGCTAGCATGATTAGCATGTAGCTATTATCAAAATAACATGATTAGCATGTAGCTAGCATCATGCTAGCATGTTTTTAGCAAGAAGCTAGCATGATTAACATGTAGCTAGCATCATGCTAGCATGATTAGCATGTTGCTAGCATCATGCTAGCATGTTTTTAGCAAGAAGCTAGCATGATTAGCATGTAGCTAGCATCATGAAAGATGTTAGAAAGATGGATAGATTTGTTAGAAAGAAAGATGGATAGATTAGTTAAGTAGAAAGAAAGATGGATAGATTAGTTAGGTAGAAAGAATGATGGATAGATTAGTTAGGTAGAAAGAAAGATGGATAGATTAGTTAGAAAGAAAGATGGATAGATTTGTTAGAAAGAAAGATGGATAGATTAGTTAGGTAGAAAGAAAGATGGATAGATTTGTTAGAAAGAAAGATGGATAGATTTGTTAGAAAGAAAGATGGATAGATTAGTTAGGTAGAAAGAAAGATCGATAGATTTGATAGAAAGAAAGATGGACAGATTTGTTAGAAAGAAAGATGGATAGATTTGTTAGAAAGAAAGATGGATAGATTTGTTAGAAAGAAAGATGGATAGATTTGTTAGAAAGAAAGATGGATGGATTTGTTAGAAAGAAAGATGGATAGATCAGTTGGGTAGAAAGAAAGATGGATAGATTTGATAGAAAGAAAGATGGATAGATTTGTTAGAAAGAAAGATGGATAGATTAGTAAGAAAGAAAGATGGATAGATTAGTTGGGTAGAAAGAAAGATGGATAGATTTGATAGAAAGAAAGATGGATAGATTTGTTAGAAAGAAAGATTGATAGATTAGTTAGGTAGAAAGAAAGATGGATAGATTTGTTAGAAAGAAAGATGGATAGATTAGTTAGAAAGAAAGATGGATAGATTAGTTAGAAAGAAAGATGATAGATTAGTTAGAAAGAAAGATGGATAGATTTGTTAGAAAGAAAGATGGATATATTTGTTGGGTAGAAAGAAAGATGGATAGATTTGTTAGAAAGAAAGATGGATAGATTTGTTAGGTAGAAAGAAAGATGGATAGATTTGTTAGGTAGAAAGAAAGATGGATAGATTTGTTAGAAAGAAAGATGGATAGATTAGTTAGGTAGAAAGAAAGATGGATAGATTAGTTAGAAAGAAAGATGTATAGATTTGTTAGAAAGAAAGATGGATAGATTTGTTAGGTAGAAAGAAAGATGGATAGATTTGTTAGAAAGAAAGATGGATAGATTTGTTAGAAAGAAAGATGGACAGATTTGTTAAGTAGAAAGAAAGATGGATATATTAGTTAGAAAGAAAGATGGATAGATTTGTTAGGTAGAAAGAAAGATGGATAGATTAGTTAGAAAGAAAGATGTATAGATTTGTTAGGTAGAAAGAAAGATGGATAGATTTGTTAGGTAGAAAGAAAGATGGATAGATTAGTTAGAAAGAAAGATGGATAGATTTGTTAGAAAGAAAGATGGATAGATTTGTTAGAAAGAAAGATGGATAGATTAGTTAGAAAGAAAGATGGATAGATTTGTTAGAAAGAAAGATGGATAGATTTGTTAGAAAGAAAGATGGATAGATTTGATAGAAAGAAAGATGGATAGATTTGTTAGAAAGAAAGATGGATAGATTTGTTAGAAAGAAAGATGGATAGATTAGTTAGAAAGAAAGATGGATAGATTAGTTAGAAAGAAAGATGGATAGATTTGTTAGAAAGAAAGATGGATAGATTAGTTAGAAAGAAAGAAAGAAAGAAAGATTAGGTAGATAGATAGATAGATAGATAGATAGATAGATAGATAGATAGATAGATAGATAGATAGATAGATAGATAGATAGATAGATAGATAGATAGATAGATAGATAGATAGATAGATAGTTCATTAGTTCATATAGAATGGTAGTTTAATTGAGTCTAGGGCTTCAGGGAATTTAGATTTGAGTTTTTGTTGTACGCTATTGGGCCACCGTAGTCTTGGCTCAATTTGACCATGCTGCAATGAAAGTCAATGGGATTTTTATGATTTTTAATATTAATTTTTAAGAAACCTGAAAGTCGAATCAGTCTAAAAAGATATAGCAACTCGAGTCAGAACAGTCTGAAGGTCTGACCCGAGTTTGGAGTTTGTAGAGTTAAAGCTCTAGGAGGAGTAGCAGTCAGAAATTTTTGAGTAAGAAAAAGAAGAAGAATAATAATAAGTTTAAATAGGATTTCAGTAAGTTGGCTTTCTCAAGCCAACTTAATAATAATAAGTTTAAATAGGATTTCAGTAAGTTGGCTTTCTCAAGCCAACTTAATTATTCCTATTAGATACACCAAAAGGCCTCTAAATGATCAACCTGATCAAAACTTTGCTGAAAAACCTGTTGTACACAATCTACTACAAACCTACGGTCATCTGATTGTTTATATTTCTTTAGCAAGTAAAAGTCCTTTTAGGCCACATTTAGAATACATGGTTCAAATAAATCAATAATAATTTTTTTCTCACATCGGATATGACCCCCTTGCTCGTATCAGGGAAAAAGCACATGGATTCCGATATTCTCAGTTGTGTTTAATTTTGATCATTTTTGTATTAACCATATCTTGATTCCTATTATGTAATGTAAATCAATTGGATAATGATAAGAATTTGGTCCAATTCTCACACATGGCACTTCAGTCACTAACTGACCTAGACACAGCATGATTGCGCAGTACGTCTTTAAGCAGGTCTGCATCTGCGAAGTAGATGATCCGGAGGATGGCTCTAAGGCACTTGTGTCTGACGGCAGGCCCGGCTGAGGAACTGTACACCTCATAAAGGACCCCAAACAGAGTCTTTATGAAGCACTTGGCCAGCTCAGGGTCCTCTTTCATCAGCTGAGCACGTGCGTCCTCTCGCCGCACCTCCAAGTGCCCTCCTGTGAAGACAGACACTGTTTTACAACATTTCACACTAAATATATACAGTATGTCATATCATTTAGTAATGACTCACATTTATGGAAGCAAATTTGGATTCCATGCTTATCTACAACTCCATTTTAAGTGTGCTTAGAGTTTACCACTGGTCATAATTATTTGACATCAAAGGTCGACCGACCAAAAACCAGTCCGGACTTTGCATGGAGTTTGACTTTGCACAGGTAGAAGTGAATTTAAAACACGGCAGAGAAAAGCCACGTTATGAATCAAGTTTGCATTATTACTTACAGTTATTTAATCATTTAAGAGGTTAGAGGATAAAATTAGCAGTTTGAACTAGGGCGGCACGATGCATCATTTTAATATCAATATCGCGATGTGTGCACCCATGATAAGTCACATCGCAGGATGTGCGATGTCACGTATAGGGATCGTAGTTGATTCATGATTAGTAGGCTACGGGCCAGCAGCCCCCCGCCCAGTAACACTTGTGATTTGTGGATTAATTGCAAAGTTTAACCATCATAGTGTGAGAGTTTATCAATTTGCAAGTCCTATCAGTTTAAACATCAAGCGCAAGAAGACTGGAACTTACGCGCTGTTTTCTGTCAGCCTTAACTAAGGCGTATTTTTGTCCCGCCAAAGCCTTATTTGACCTGTGAGTGATGTAGATGACTGACTGCTGCGGTTGTTTAACAAAGAATGAGCAGAGAGAGTGAAAGCCCCGGCACCATCTTCAAACAGTCTTGCTCTCTCTCCCTCCCTCCCTCACACATATTAATGATGGTAAAAGGTCGGAAGACTTGAGTTTTGTTTTTTCTGAACTTCCACTGGTTGTGAATTGTGCTAAAATAACGTTTTTGAAGGAGTTTCACCGCACTCACGGTAAACAAGGTGCCAGACAGACAAGACTAGATAACTGAAAAAATAAATAAACTGTCCGCACACTTGAATCCTTTAAGCAAATTTAATAGCCAAGCTTTCGGTCATAAAAAAATGATGCCCTGAGGATGGGTTTTTTTGACCGAAAGCTTGGCTATTGATTTTGCTTAAAGGATTCAAGTGTGCAGACAGTTTATTTAATTTTTGTGCAAAAATAACGTTGCCTTACCTTCTCTGAAAAGCTTTCCACATATTCAAATGACAAACCACACTTTCAATAAAACAAACAAAAAAAAAATCTAGTAATGAAATGTTTTCTGTGTTGAGAAAAATCTTGTGTGATGTCCTAAACCGTGGTCCATTAATGACACGTTCGATTCGCGAACTAATGACTCCTTTGAACCGATTCAGTTTAATGAATAGTTTATTGAATGAAAAAAAATTATCTGTCCAACACTGAACTTAAAAGCCATAAATCGGAGACACTTTACAATAAGGTTCCATTTATTAAAGTCTAGTTAACATTCTATTAATATTAGTTTCTATGCAGATTTACTCCATGACAAAACCAGTCATTCTAGAATGATTTATTCTTTCCAAATAGAGCCATTCAAGTCATCTGGTGAAATTGTTTTTATATCGCAATATATAATCTCAGAAAAATAAAATATCGCAATGTCTTTTTTTTTTTACCAATATCGTGCAGCCAATACCGTAATAAAAATAATAATAAACAGAGCAATTCCAAGAGGGTCCTCACCATTGGTGCTCTGGCCCTAAAAATGGCCACATATCTTTCATCTTAATTTGCCTTTTTTGTATAAGACATAACTACTGCTTTGTGCAAATGAAGTATGTTTTTGGGGTTGAGGGTGATCTATTGGTTACAATAAACATTACCGCTCCAAAGAAAATGTGTTGGGAAGTATTTTTTGTTGCAACTTAAATCAACTATTATCAACCATGTTAATGTGGAAAAATGCTAAGTGGGTTTTTGCTTTTGATTATCTGATTGTTGCTTTAGAAAAAAAAAGTGCACACTGCACAGGAATAGCCTGTTTTCTCTTTTTAGCTTTCCAAATGTTTCTCTGTTCTTACAAAAGTGGTTATACACAAAAGAAATGTAAGAGTATGGTAAAATATGTACATTTAAACGTGAGCACAGCATAATTTTCATGTGAGAGATGTAATTTTCAATTTGCATTGTATATTATATACACAAGTTTTTAAAAAAAGATTTGATTTAGTCAATTCTCTCTCCATTTTTGGTACATTATTCATTCACACAAGACAAACAAATTAAAGCATTATTGTCAGTAGTGATGAAGCTTAGACACAAATAATGTTCATCACTATTTTACATTAAGTGGAAAAGTTTGGTTCATATTTATTTTATTAAAACTGTCAGCTATTAATCCGTTTTCATAAGTATTTTCTGGTTTTAGTTATTGGTATCAGAAAAATCAGTCAACCACCACTATTAACCACCTCCACCTCAGTGTGAGTGCAGCATGTGTACCTGTGTTGGGGTTGGCCAGAGGGTTGGGTTTCCTCTGAATGGCACGGGCAGTGCCAGTGTCTTCATTTATCTGCTGCATAGAGTTGAAGTCAATGGTGTAGACACGGCCGAGTGTCGACAGACTTATTTCATCTTCTCCATTCTGGTGTGCGGTCTGAAAAAAAAAAAAAAAGAATAAGAAATAAAATCACATGGTGATTCAGAATCATTAACTGGTCTTCTGAAACCCATGTCTACCCACAAAACTACATCTGCACTGAATGTAGTTAGCTGGACATACTTCAATGATACGGCTGTCAATGCGGTTGTACGGGTGCCACAGGCCTCTGTCATCTCTCCACTGCCAGATGGCGCCCTCTGTAGTCTGGGCACTTCCTTTCTTAAGCATTGCATCAACCGCAAAGATGCCCTCTCTGGGCAGACATGGCATCAGCTCACTACAGCAGAGAGATAAAACAGAGTGATCAAACACACTCAATACTCTGATGAATTGCTAGCAAATATGACAATTTTCACTTTGGGGTGAACTAATCCTTTAAGCTTTATTATAACTCCTCCAATCACTTTCTTTACTCTGAGCATGTCAATCAGATGTCACTGGCAGAGACACACAGATCGAGGAGAGGTTTATCAAAACAGGACATACCAAATAAGCGAGGTGAGTTCATAAAGCTCCTGGGGGCTTCTGGGAACAAGGTCAATCTGTTCTTGACAGCTCCCATTGGATGCTCCACATAGCAGGAAACGAAGAGTCTCTGCTATATCTATGAACAAGCAAAACACAGACACTTAATGTACATTTACATGTGTTCATAAAACAGGCAACATGCCTTCCCATCCAGTGTTGAACTTGGTGGAGAAAAAAAAAACTGCTCTGAAGTGCCACATTCTTTTCTGTGTTGGTTTTCTTGTCTTTTTGGTAACAGGCAGCAGGGCAGGACATCTGTGTGTGTGTGCGTGACTTACTCTGTTTCATGAGCTGCACAGCCAGGCATGGGCAATTGGAGCACATGAGAGAGAACATGCGCACTACCATGATGAACATGCCAGAGCTGAGCACAGGTGGAGTGAGAACCAGCAGCTGCTGGATGTTGGTCAGCAGGTCCCGTGACGCCACTTGCTGTAACAGGTTCTGGGACAGTGACAGAGGGGAGCGGTTAATGAGGTCATCATAAATGCACAAAGATATTTAGCAATTTAAGTGACGGTCAATTCACAAACAAGTTATTTTGACTTTGCTTAGTTTGAAGCGATTCAAAAAGCATTTATAAATCTTGACAATTCAATGCATCAAAAAATATTTGGATCACTTTTTGCCAGCATGTTCTAGAGCTGCTGTCTGCAAAATTTTGTGAAGATCCGATGAACAGTCTAGTACTTGGAAAAAAAAACGTTTCAGACAATTGAAAACAGCGGGACAAAATTCACAGATGGATATGAAATCAAAGATACATTTTGTGGTAGTTGAATAAACGATTTAGTATTCTATACAAGGGAATACGTTTTTCTAATAATACAAAAAATAAAAATACACTGCTCATTATATGAAACATTTCACAATCAATTAAATTCTCATTCTTACAACTTGAATTTTTTTTTTTAACTGTTGGGACGTTTTGTTTTTTTCAGGTTTATAAAATTTGCTGTGCTTGTGTGCGAGTAACGATCTCACCTCCTCATGCTGAAAGTTGTCCACCAGCCTGGCAAAACAGAGACAAGTGCTTTCGACAGATTTTTTATCCTGTAATACAAAAGTCATAATAAAAATGCTGATTCATCTGAGGAAGACAGCGCTGAATTATTGTTACACCCAATGTCTGCCAACAGTGTCATTCAGGTGTGAATCACACCAGTAACACTTTGGCAAACATAACGCTTATGTCCTTGTGAGTGTTTATGTTTGTGTTACAGATCTAGACATGAAGTCTGTTCATCTGCTGTTATAAATATGAATGAGTTGTCTGCGGTGTCTTTCATCTCATCACCTGGTGTGTGAGTCTCTGAGTGAGCAGGGGCAGAGAGTCAGCGACAAAGTGAAACTCGTCCGGCGTGATGCTCTGGCAGCAGTTAGCAGCGATGGCTAATGCGTTCCTCTGAGCATTGATGCTGAAGAACTCCAAGTAAAGCAAACAGTCAGCCAGACCTCCCTACAAAGAGACATTTTCAGAAAACAGCACAGACTTGGTCAGTGATGTGTCATTTTCCATAATAAAATAAGATGGGGTCAATAGAACAGATTTAACATTCAAAGCCATTATAAAACAGACAATAGCTTACATAAAGGCTAATTAGATCAACTGGCTGAAGTGTTTTTGTGGTTATTAAACTGAATTCAACATAATTGGTGTCTTATTGGTTGAAATGGTCTTCATTTTGCCAGACATTTTTAATTTAGTCTTAGCCATGTCAAAATTAAATACTTTAGTTATCAGTCAACCTTTTGTTTAGTCAACATTAAGTCAATGTAGGGGCATTTTAGTCTAGTGAAATCTTAGCCACAATTTCATCATGCTGCATAATTAAATCACAATTATTTTGCTTGAAATTATAAATCACAATGACTGTTGTCATTTCAGAATCAAATTTTTACATTTATTGCACTTTTATCACCCTTAAGCACAAATCTCACTCGCATGGTTTAATTTACCTCATTTAGTTGGTTTAATTTACCTCTATTTAGGCTATTTATCATATTAACACACTCTCTACATTATTAATACTGCTAAAACAAGAAACCTCTTTCAAAAATTAAAACGGTGATATTCCTAATACTAAATCTAAATTACACTAATGTTTTTCTATTCAAAAAGCAAAAAAGACTGCATTGACAAAGTCAATTTCACTTTAAGAACGAGCATTTATTTAAGAACCACAATCCAAACAATATGGTCGAGATCCATGTTTGGATTTTTTACAGTTCATCACTAAAAAGGTTTGATCACAGATTTAGTCGCAGCAAACAGCGCAAGCACCCTGTGAAGAAACACAGACTGCCTGTATGACACTTTCATTTGAGCAAAATATCTTAATGAAAATCACTAAACTTATGCTTAAGTGTTTTATTCTACAGTGTAGAGACCGCATGTGCACATGGTGGCCAGATTGCTAAGATTAAGTAAAACAAGGCAGGAAATGCATCCATTTAAGAGAAAAGCTCTGTATGGGGGGGATTTTTAAAACCTGGCAACCACAAGTATGAAAGCTTGTAGACTTGTTAAAAACAGTCTGTAATCTTTTGTCTCTCTTTTTCAACAAAAACAAAGAGATTTTTTTTCTTCTTTTCAGAAGTTTTTATTTTTTAACAACATTTTACCTCAATATTCCATGTTGATATAGTCAGAGCTATCATTTAATGACGCTGTCTCATTTCGTTATTGTCTTGCCTTAATCATGGAAAAAAGGTCATTGACGAACATTCTGCGTCAGATTTCGTTAACAAAATTAACACTAGGTTGAAACAACATTTAAGTAACAAGAAACCATCAGTACTCACAGCCTGTAAGATGGCTTTGCTGTGCCTCCGTGACAACATCTCCAGGGCGGTCAAGGCTTGCTCTGCCACATCAATAAACTGAATTACCTGAAGCTGTAAACACAAGGGGAAAAAAATTATGAGACCACAAGCACAAAAAAATGCCACTTCTAAACATAACCTTATTCACATGTGAAATGTCACACTCCAATCAAGTCGGTGAACACAGAATAGGTGTTGCTCTGTAAATATTTGCACATTGTTGTGATGTCAAAAATGTTTTTGAGGGAGGCAAAACGTTGTCACTTGTGTTTAAATTTATACTTGTTCTTATTTTTTTTAATATAAGTTTTTCCTTTATATAACCCCTGTAATTGTGTTATCTACATACTGGGTAGCCAAGGTTCAAAGAAAGAGTGAGGTGCCATTTACCTTTTCCAGGAAGACTGGGATGGCGTCTACCACCACAGCCGAGGAGCGTGGCAGAGCCTCCATCATGTAGGTGAGGGCGCGAGATGCATGATTCATCTGCAGAAATGTCACACATGGTGAACAGCTATTACTTTATTCTCAAATTTTAAGTGTCAAAATTGAACGGATGAAATGATTGTCAGGTGCTAGATTCACTGCAGTTTGCCTTGATAGGCTTGCACAATGTTCCATCTCTGCGTATACATGTACCCAACTCAAAGAAGTTTCTAATACTCACAATATCAAAATTATGCTCCATCTGTAACAGTGTGATCTGCGAAGACAAAAGGGGAACAGGACATATGGGTAAGAATAGAGAGTGGCTGGACTCCCGGCACAGACAGGAGGTTGTTATCCATCTCAGAAAGCATAAATCTAAGGTCTTTTAAGAACTTATCTAAGACCTGAACAAATAAAATGAATACCATATGGGCGAGGTTGAGCAAACATCCTAAATCGTAAAATAAATAAAACATACATTTACAAAAAAGATTTTAATTTGGCAGTCAACCAATCAAATTCAAATTGTACAATGCCAAATGGAGTTAAATCACATCACGTCTTCATCAACTTTCAGTTGACAAGGGAAATAAAAGACTAAGCATTAAGCACAGGCTATATTGGTTATGACTAAATGGCAAATACCAGACTAAGACACTCTTCTCCGCTCTTCAAATACATGTAACATTAGCCTTTACACACGTCATGATTTGGATAAAAAAAAACACTGTCCTTTTTCAAGGAAACCATTTTTTATTTACCCATGCACTGCAAACAAGCGGAGACGGTCTCCAAAATGTGAACAGCACTTCAAGTGCCTTGGCCTCGTATGATTTTTGCAAGATACGAACTTTATACCCCAGTAGCACTTTTTGCATCTTGTACTCTATGTGGGCAACACTTCATTCAAGATAGAGGCGGTGGTGCTACTGTATGAGGTTTTGCCGACAGTTTGAAGATCCACTCGAGTTACGAGTTTTAGTCAAATGCTCTCAGTATAAGTTTCAATTCAAGCTCTAGTCATAAGTACAGTTAAAAAAAAATTATTAACTGGTATTTTTTCTGATCAAACCCCTTTCAGAACGATAATTTTACAGTAGAAACGCATGAACAGAAACGTTAAAATACTGATCCTGCTTGCAGTGACCCGATTTAAAAAAAAAAAAAAGTAAGCCCTGCTTGCAAGTGAAGAAATTATTAAACAAAAGTATTGTAATTTCCCTAATGGAATCTAAAGTGAAATGACATACAGGGATGGGCTGGGGGAAGGGCTTTGGTTGGCATTCACCCAGAGCCCTTGAGGAACAGAGGTCCACCAACCAATAGACTCACACAATCCTGCAAAACTGACTTTAAGGCTTTTTAAGGACCCAACAACCAGTATCTGGGCATTATTTGGCGATTTGAAGAATTTTTTCACTCCTGTATAATTGGGTGTTCTTAGCCAGAATAAACTACAGTGTGTACCAGGCTTTAGTCCAGATGAATTTCCTGATGCATACTCACCAGGGCAGGTACGACACTCTTGACAGGGAAGCCTCCCAACGTCTCCTCGTTACCCATCACTAGCAGCTGGCACATCTCTATAGCAGCCTGGAGTTGCTGGGATTCATCACCTGTAGCCTGCAGACCCTGCAGCAGCTGCTGTGCCTTTGAGCCTGCAAACGTAGAGGGAGACAGAAGACCGACACCTTGAGCGGATGAAATACTTAATCATCCCACAAAAATGTCACAAACATCAGTCAAGGTCACTCACTAGCTCCACTCCCAATGGTCCTATGAAACAGCTGAGACATACGGGGCCCAAAGGGCCCAAACAGGTGAGGAGGAAGACCCCTGGCCTCCAGCAGAGCTGTGGAGAGAGCAGAACATGAAACCACACACACACAACTAGATGTTTGTGCTTTATTATGCTTTGATCGGTCTTGGTCAATGTTAAAAAAAGGGTTTTATTTTTGTCGATAATGAAGATAATAAAATTTTGCATTTTAATTAAAGCTGCTGATTAAACTACAAGTTAACAAACAACACTGCAAGATCCTTACAAAGCACTTACCACCAAAGCACAAAGCACCATTTTTTCCTAAATCTTCATTCTTAATACAATGTTGTAAATACTCCCATCACATCTATAATCTAATAATCATCTATTCAATGTTGAGATTTGCGCAAAAAATGATACATAACACTAAGATCACTTTTTTTTCTTATCACTGAACATTTAATTACTTTATCTTCACAAATTGTATTTTTAGAAAATGAATGATATAAAAATAGAGCAAACATGCCTTGCAGTCTTCCCATTTCAGAATCATCTGATTCACTCTCTCCAGAGGTGGTCATGCCAACAGCTCCAGCTACTGAGCTAGATGCTACACAGCAGAGACAGAATGAGTATAAGAGACCGATGTAGAATAAAACATACGTTGCCATGCCTGTGTTAAGGTACCATTAGTGTGTTCTTAACATACACATCACAGTACCACATACAATATATAATAAAGTCTTAGGGGACTGCTGCTCTCTTACCTGACGCCCCTTGGGGTGTTTCCTCTGTGCGCGCGGCCGATGAATTGGCCCCATCCTGGTTGTTGTCAGAGTCGGCCATTTTCTCCTGTCGGCGAGCTTCGGCTGTCCCGCGCTTGCCCAGGCCTGAGCCTCGCCGACTAGAAAGATATAAAAACACAACAGTTAAAGCCAAATATTCTCAATAAAATTTGTATATTAATACATACTAAACTAAAACGATGGCAAACAACCAAAAATCATTTACTTGAATAAAATGTCCATAATCATATAGTGCAGGGTTTGACATTGTGTTATAAATATATAACACACACAGAGTTGTAAACGAAAATTTTCAACCCCCATTATTACTCAGATTTATTGACAAAATTTACAAACTTATGGGAGTCTTAGCCCATTCCTCATGAGCAATGGCCTACAGTTCAGTAATATTCTTGGGTATATACAACCAAGGCTTTGTAGGAAGCGAAAGACTAATCTTTACAAATATAAAGGTGGAAATACACTACATGACCGAACAGACAACTGAGAATCACACAAGTAGAAGTAAAAGGTTACTACATAGACCTGGTTCACAAAATAAACACTTCAAAAATGGAATAATTATTCATGTTTTGAGGTGTCAGGTCTGTGTTAAGAGCAGGGCCACCCTGCAGTGCAAATGATGCGATCGCACTGGGCCCAGCTATGAACAGACAGAGGGTGACATCACCACCACAATGCATCACGGCCGACCTCTCACGTTACCTCACACTGGGCCCTGCCCCATGACTGGGACGGCCCTGATTCAGAGTATTTCATATCAGCTTAGAACAAGCCTAAGCAATTCAAAAACAAGGACCGGAACTATCTGTTTTATAACTGTTGTTTAACATTTGATTATGAATGTTTGGGAACTCAAAGACAACCTCTTTTACAAGACAATTCACAACACTGCACCAGATTTCTCATGAGGATGAACTGAAAGTTCCAGTAATGCAAGTAAGTGAACAGGAACACCCATCTGCAGTTACCACAAAATACAGCTGAGGGGATAGAGGGGGCTGATTAATGATTCTAGTAAATCTAAGTAAATAAACAGGATTAATATGGAGGAACCATGTATTGTCATCTCTGTATCAGATTCACACAATATACCTTAGTCAAGGTGTCATATATAATTAATTTTTTTGGTGGGAATGAAAAGTGTTTTCTTGTTTTTTTTACAGTTTTCAAGTAGCACATGCGTCCTTCTCCTGCGTGTAAGGAAATAACAGTCTATATCAGCAGGTGGTAGAAAGTCTATACTCATTCAAAAAGGGAAAGCGACACTACAACTGCAGATATACAAAATGTTTACAAATCAGAGCTTGATTACTGTTTTGAATATGTATCATGTTGATCACTTACTTCATTACAGACGGCCTTGTCGTTATGAAAGCATTTGCGTATTGGGATGCCCATATAAGATCCAAAAAAATAAAAAATTAGAACCGCCTTCTGTGAGTGCCCTCTTGACCAGTCATCTGCTCATTTACATTACTTTTGCTTTTTTATTGTGTGCTAGTTCACTAAGCTGGACAGCCAATCAGAGTGATCTCTCCCAATTGGCTTGATTTATTAGTTTGTGCATGTTCTAGATCAGTAGACTGTTCTGGATTGAAAAGGCTGGTGGTTCAGTACCTGGTGCTGGCGCAAGAGCCCGTGGTCTTTTGACGTGTGCTCCTCCGACAGCTGGGGAGCTCTGCTGGGGGAGACTCACTACGCTTCTTAGTGGACTTCCTCAAACCTAGAGACAGAAACATACAGAATTACACCCATAATTCAGAAGGGAGGGGTAAGAGAGCTACAGTTAAAGGATAGTTAGCCATAAATTCAGAAATCTCTCCTACATATTGATAAGAAAAATACAGCAATTATTCTACCAGTAGTTCCGGTGAAATCACTATGGTGGCTTTCTCCAGTTCTGAACTTTGGAAACTGCACGAGTTGAAACTTTGTTTGAAATACATGTAATACAGGGCTGGGTAAAAATATTCCTCATTACACAGTTTGTCCAAATCAAGTAAGAGTGTTATGTTTTAACATGCAGTGAATGTTGAACAAAAATAATCTAGGGCCACTGATGTGGATGCAGGTTAAGGAGTTAATGTGCAGTGACAGATCTCTGTATCACCTCATTTCAAGTGAAGCAGTCCTACGAAGTGCGTGTGAACAGATCATCTGTTGGCGAGTAGTGTCAGAAGCAGTGGAGTAAAGACTGTTTTCACAGAAACCAGCACATTCTGTACATAGCACTGTGTGTAAAATGAGTCACATCGTAGCATCTACACTTAATGATAACATAAGCTCCTCATCAGCCACAGTCATATGCTCTCTTTCTGATTAAGCAAGAAACATATGCTTAATTTCATTATACTGATATTTAGAAGAATATCAGTAACCAGACAGTTTCTGGTCTCATTGACTTCCATAGTAGGAAAAAAATATACTATGGAAGTCAATGAGACCAGAAACTGTCTGGTTACTGATTTTCTTCGAAATATCAGAAAATCATCTGAATACATTCGAAAACGGTAAAACTCAACTTTTTAACTCTTGGGGGAGTGGTAAAATGAGCCTATTTCCAAAAAAAGTGGAGTATCCCTTTAATTTCCTTATGTGATTATGAAGAAATCTTTAGTGTAGTGCTCTGTTTTAACCTGTCCTGAAGTACAGAGATTTATCCTCCTGTAAATCCCAGGATCCCTTATTTTAGATTAAGCGACATACATTATTAATATCATGACATTTTAGATCCTTGACTTAACTGAATTAAAGGAGAGTGAATATGGCAAGTCAAACAGTATATTAAACAATCCAAAAGAAGTCAAAAAGCTACTTTTTATTATGTTTATTTTCTATGAAAGCAGTTACCTATAAAATCACCCCAATTATTATAGAATTATTATTTAAATCTTGAGCTATTCAAGACATCAAATGAAAATTTCTGTATTTCTTCATATCGGAATATACACTCACCTAAAGGATTATTAGGAACACCATACTAATACTGTGTTTGACCCCCTTTCGCCTTCAGAACTGCTTTAATTCTACGTGGCTTTGATTCAACAAGGTGCTGAAAGCATTCTTTAGAAATGTTGGCCCATATTCATAGGATAGTATCTTGCAGTTGATGGAGATTTGTGGGATGCACATCCAGGGCACCCGTTCAACCACATCCCAAGGACGCTCTATTGCAGCGTTCGGAAAACTATGGCTTGCAAGGTCTCTCACCCTTTACCAACAAACGAGCGATTAAAAAAAAAAAAAAAAAAAAGACACATCAATAGAGATTGGCTCTCGGCAGAAAATCTGCCAGTTACAATTCCCCTGTAGTACAGTCTACCTAAGTTAATGAAAGGTTTATGATGAAAATTATATTCATGTTGTACCAGAAAAAGTGCTCATTGCTGGTCGTGCTCGCGAGTGTTACAAGTCAGAGCAACTAACCACTTGTCTCTGTGATAACCCACAGCTCCTGCATTAGGATTCAAGCAGCTGCAGCTTGTTTAAGGTAGGCCTAATGGCGAAAAGCAGCAAAAGATGTAAAAGAAGGCTATAAACTTTAATACTTTCACTTTTGCTGCAGAGACCCTTCATGACACGATAAATGCGTAGCATTTTTGATACTCCACTCAGATTTCAGTTGATGATTCTGTTTAAAGTTATTAATAACAAAAAAACGAAGGAATGAGACAAAAAGGGCAGGATGTCCTTTATATTGAAAAGAAATATTAAAGCGCGATAAATCGCGAAAGGGAACAGTATTACTGGCAGGATGTCAGTGAGTATTCACGTAAACACAGTATAAGTACTGTAAGTTCTCTCTCTCTCTCTCATCAGTTTTATGCTCATCAGTTGATGACTCACAGAGAAAGCCCTTTCCAATTAAAATTGAAACTTTGCTAAATATTTGTTTGTTTTTAGTTGTTAAAGCACATCTTTAATTATATTATTATATTTTTCTTTTACTGTGGCTCTTTTGGAAAAATGCATTAACCAAAAATGAAAAAAAAACAAAAAGACTCTTTGGTCAAAAAAGTTCCCAACCCCTGCTCTACTGAGTTGAGATCTGGTGACTGGGGGCCATTTTAGTACAGTGAACTCATCGTCATGTTCAAGAAACAAACTTGAAATTATTCGAGCTTTGTGACATGGTGCATTATCCTTCTGGAAGTAGCCATCAGAGGATGGGTACATGATGGCCATAAAGGGATGGACATGGTCAGAAACAATGCTCAGGTAGACCGTTTAAACGATGCCTAATTGGCACTAAGGGGCCTAAAGTGTGCACAGTGGTAACAAGGCATGATGGATCCATGTTCTCATTCTGTTTATGCCAAATTCTGACTCTACCATCTGAATATCTCAACAGAAATCGAGACTCAGACCAGGCAACATTTTTCCAGTATTTAAGTATCCAATTTTGGTGAGCTCTAGCAAATTGTAGCCTCTTTTTCCTATTTGTAGTGGAGATGAGTGGTACCCGGTGGGGTCTTCTGCTGCTGTAGCCCATCCGTCTCAAGTCTGTGCATGTTGTGGTTTCCCAAATGCTTTGCTGCATACCTCGGTTGTAACGAGTGGTTATTTCAGTCAAAATTGCTCTTCTATCAGCTTGAATCAGTTGGCCCATTCTCCCCTGACCCCTAGCATCAACAAGGCATTTTCACCCACAGGTCTGTCGCATACTGAATGTTTTTCCCTTTTCACACCATTCTTTGTAAACCCTAGAAAAGGTTGTGCATGAAAATCCCAGTAACTGAGCAGATTGTGAAATACTCAGACCGGTCCGTCTGGCACCAACCAGCATGCCACGATCAAAATTGCTTAAATCACCTTTCTTTCCCATTCTGACATTCAGTTTGGAGTTCAGGAGATTGTCTTGACTAGGACCACACCCCAACATGGATTAAAGCAACTGCCATGTGATTGGTTGATTAGATAATTGCATTAATGAGAAATTGAACAGGTTCCTAATAATCCTTTAGGTGAATGTACATCATAGAAAAAAGAAAAAAAAAAAAGATATCGCAATGTCAGTTTTTTCCAATATCATGCAGCCCTAATTTCAAGCAAGAAATTAGTATTGTAGTAATTAAATATTTACTTGGTTATTAGAGCTTTCTCTATTTCACTGTAGATCATTAGATCATTTATGGTGCCTCAGAAGTCTGTCAGAAATCAGTATCGTGTGGTGCCTTTGTGCGCAAGCGCTGCTTGCAAAGTCATTGCCTGATAAAACAGCGACACTAATCAGCTGCCTATTGCCTTAGCTTTTGGACGCAGTACAAAATTACACAGGCAACATTGAAGCACACTAACAGAACATATTCATATAGCTTAAGCATGTAAAATATTAACACTGTGAACCAAACAATACGCAAGTATGAATCTGTTTGGCCAGCCGGTGGTGAACCACACAAAAATTTAGTCAGATCATATTTTTTCTGTTTTATTTATTAGTTAAAATACATCAAAACCAAAGTGAAATCAAGCCATTTCACTATGTGCGAGAAACCTGTGATCATTTAACTGCATATCTGTTGAATTCTATATTAATATGCACTATTAAAATGCTAATCGTTGCTTAGCTACCATTAACAGCCAAGTTTTATACAAGACACGAGTGGCACAATGCATCAAAACTGAAAAGTTTGAAGCGGTTTAAACTGATACACATAATGTACCGTCATAACACTCAGCCCGCTGGATATGGAAAGAAAGTAAAGGAAAAATTAAAGACAAAACCTTAAAAAGACCTCTGACAGTGCTTTCCCTGTAAAGTCAGATGATTCACACAACAGCTCCAGTCTGGTGGTCAAACCCTCACACTGAGGGTCTATTCTGGGCAAAGTTCTGCCCCATGCCCTTTGGCAACATGCCCTCCCATGACTCTTCATGTCTTTCCATAATCAACACAGCTCTTATTCAAAATAAACACCTCCAATGAGCCTTCACCGAACACTTTACAGCAACCAGGGACAAGACAAACAACTAACCAATACGTGATCCAAAACATCCAACCAATACCACTCTCAAGCCTAGATATCCATGCATGCCAGCGTGCTGACCCACCTATGGGCATTCTGATATTTCAAAGCTCTGCTAGGCACATGCACACAGAAAATAACTACTATACCAAAAGTCCTTCCTACCTCAGTATACATCCAGCCGCGACTCTTGTCCATACAATACTGTAAGGCAGCAGGAGGCTGATATTTTTAGCCCAGGACACTGGCACTGAACTGGACTGAAATCTGAGCCAGCTCCCCCTGCCATGACCAAAGCTTCATCCGCTATTACTGAGGCAAGAAATGATCACCATCACAACGATCACGCCATTACTGTAGACACTGATTTGTGAAGACTGGGTTGCTCAGGATATTAGCCCTCAGATCAAGGATCAGATGAAATTACAGTAAAAATACCAGCCATTAGCCATGCCTATGTGCTTGAATCCTATGATAACGGTCAAGAAAACAAGTTATTTCACCCTAAAATCTAAAGAATAATAAATATTTTTTGTATTATGTGAACTCCAAAAAATTGCCTACACATTTGGTGGCAAGATGTGCTTAATTTTTGGGTTTGTAAAATGAATTTCTATTTTCTAAATTTGATTTTAGGCTGAAATATGACCCATATTCATAAAGGAATAAAACAAAAGTACTTGAGAATCAGATTTAACCACAAAACATAAACCAAGTGTGCTTTTTAATGGTGTTTGACGTTGAGATTGCCTACAGTAAATAGTAGGGCTGGGTAATAAATATCGATTTCTCGATATTAATCGATTCTCATTTCTACGAACCGATATCGATTCTTAAGTCTCAAGAATCGATTATTCATCCCGTTTCATTTGAATGAATGGGATATTGCATCGCGGCTGCGCGTATATATAAAAAAAAAAAAAAAAAAAAAAAAAAAAAAATCGCAATAATCTTTGTCCTTTGTTACTATTGATATGAAGCAAAGTCTCAATTTTCAAATTACGTTTCTTTAGAAATTCAAAAACATAAATAGAGTTTTGGCGCTATGGCGTGAGATTGCTCTGGCGCAGCTGATGAGAAGCAGCAACGCTGATCTCTCTTCCGGCTTAATAAAAGCAGTCACAGCGCGAAATAAACATGAATGAGCGTCTGAAAGTGTGTTAAAAGATAGAGTACAACTTAAAGAAATTCGTATCATGTCACATTGATTCGCTAAATCAGCGTTTCAACCGTGGAAAGACGTCAGTTAAACAGCTTGTAATCAATGTATCGTCATATTTACCTCAGAAAACCCACATCAACTCGTTAGTCAGCTAGGAAAAAATAACTACAGAGAGGAACATTTTGCTAAATATATAGCCATTTAAATGTTTATATTTCATATAATCTTCTTATTATAAAAATAAATAAAAGTGTAATTTAAGTGATTCATTCATTATTACCTTCATATTTGAATAAATCTGGCAAGTTTTTTATGACAGCCACCATTTAAATGTTTATATTTCATATAATCTTCTTATTATAAAAATAAGTAAAAGTGTAATTTAAGTGATTCATTCATTATTACCTTCATATTAGGCTAATAAAGCCTAGTAGGCTACAACTATACTCCTATAGTTTACAGCATTAGTTAAGAGATTTGATTCCCTTGAGAAAAAATGCCATTTATTGTAACTGATATCCAAAATAATCGATATTGAATCGAAATCGAATCGAATTGCAAGCTTGTGAATCGAAATCGAATCGAATTGTGAAATTTGTCTCAATACCCAGCCCTAGTAAATAGAACGTGTATGTGTTCTTGTTGGTGGGTCTATGGGAAAGACTAAATTACCTCATAGTACTTAACAGGATCAAAAAGCAGTGTAATTTGCATAATGTATAATATCCTCCAAATTCTTGGTTAAATTATTGTCATTTCACTCTACATGTCTAGCAACGCCTACAGTGTGTCTATTGAAGAAGACCTAGACCAGATCTGTCATGGAAAAGCACGTCATTGCCTCACTTCCAGCAGGTGTCTGAAAACTGAGGTCCACTTCTAGCACCATTGCAGCTGGTGTTCTAGATGTGCAGCTCTGATGAAACTGAAGCCTAGATGTAGAATGTAAGCTGTTCAAGACTGTGCACACATGGACATCCAGATAAAAGAGCCCAGCCCTGATTTTACAGCTACAAAAACGCTCAATACACCACCTTATTTAATTAGTGTTGTCAGAATTCCAGGCACTTTGGTACCAAGGCGATACTGATTTTGAGTGTGTTGTGTTGAGCATTGTAGTCGTTCAAAACTACTTTTACTGACAAAGCAATAGATGGGACAAAAAAAAAAAAATCAGATGAAACTAACAGAACTGCCACTTGTTTTATGTAATGTGTTTTTTGTTCAATTTATTACTAAATGTTTATTTATTTTAAAGCAATGTTTATTTAATTGAAAATATACTGTTGTTTTAAAGTATTATTTATTTTAAAGTAATTTTTATTAAAGCCACAGAAGGGAAGTTTCACCTCTAGAGGTCACTTATTCAAAACAATAAAGACAGCTTGATTGTCGGCATTAATGAGTGTGGAATCATGTGAGTTGTCGTCTTCACCTCCAGAGCCAATGGAAAGCAATTCGACGGGACTCAAGTTCATGGATGAGCTAATCCTCTAAAATTCAGAATTATTGTTCTTACAAATAAAGCTCTTTCTGATTTTGCTCTTAGCCACTACAACTACAAATAGTATTGTGAAATACTTACACTTTCTGTAAAGCTGCTTTGAAAAGCACTATACAAATAAATTTGAATTGAATTGAAATAGTGGCATGATACAAACATTATTCACAGTAAATTAAAAAAATATATATATATAAAATAAGACTAATCATGTTTAGCAATATAACAATAATGTTTTTTCTGTCGATAAACGTAAACAAACAGTTGCTCACCTGTCTAGTAAAATGCATAATATATTAAAGCATCTTTGGGGTTTCCGTAAACCGAGGGTAACACGGATAACGTCATTGACAGGCGACGCAGTGAACTTGTGAATTACACAAATCAACAAAATATCATTGTTTTAGTAATTTTTGGGGGATATTTTAATCCAAAAATCTTACATATTTGTGCCTTTAGGAATTATATATTTTTATTTTCAAATAGTTAAATAAAATAATTCCAGTGGCTTTTTCTATGGTACCATAAAATTTAACTAGTGCTGTCATGATACCAGTTATGTACCAGTCTCAATAAGATCACGTAGACAAACCAACCTTCAGACTATTTAGTATTTTGTCAGAACTTGAGAACCCCTACACCACAAATTACCCAAGAGATTTAGGTTTTTTTTATCTACTTTACATTATAGAATGTGTATACCGGTGCCTGTTGGTTTGGTATATGGGAAAGACTTATGATCTCAGTGTGAGTGCTTAACAGGATCAACTTGTTTTGAACCTGGAAAAGTTCTTTAAAAATACAGAAGCAAATGATAGGAAACTCTGTATAGCAGTTTGGGTACTCACTTGCTAGTTTGGCCTGCAGACCGGAGGGCCCAGGCTTGGAGGAGGTCTCAGCCTTGGCCGATCCCGGCAGGGACAGTTTGGGCTTTGGCAGGTTGACTTTGGAATTGAATCGGGACGTCCAGTCAAACTTGGAGGAGCCGGCAGCCTTGTTTTGCTCTTTATCCCGACTGCTCCTACGAGGGGAAGGTGAGGAGGCGGAGCGCGACCGCCGCGCTTTGCTCTGGTCCTTGCCCTGCTTTAGCCGGGCACCCTGAGGGGCACAGCTGTTGGCGCCTGTGGCGGCCGAGGAGGAAGAGGAAGAGGAGGATGAGGAAGAGGCACAGGAAGAGGAGGAGTCAGTCACGGTGCTACACCCAGCTTTGGCTGAGGCGGCCGATTTGGACGCCAGCTTGGTGGGTTTGGCTGCCCGGCTGGCCTCGCTGCGGGGTGGCAGGGGGGCTGCCGCGCTGCTCGAGCTGGGGAGGGAGGATGAGGAGGACGACAACGAAGAGGCGTCTGCCTTCTTGCGCTTTTGAGAGGGGGTGCTCGAGACCCCACTGGGGCCAGGGTAGGACACGCTCTTCTTGCTCAGGGCTCTGGCAGGAGCCGGCTCGGCTGCTAAACGTCTCTTTTTGGACTTGGTGCTGACAGATGCTGGAGCCTTCTTCGGCTCTGTAACTTCAGGTGAGGTTGCGGGGGCCGATGGCCCACTGGCTGAACTTTCCAAAAGGTGGCTGGACACTGCTTTGGGCCGCTTGGCCGGGCTGGGCGAAAAGGTGATGCTGATATCTGTTGCGGAGCTGCGTTTGAGAGCGCGGGTGCTGCTGCCCTCCCGTCTCCCTTGCTGGCCTGAAGTTCCTGCTGCTTCTAAATCTGGATCTGGGATCGAGTGTGAACCCACGGATAGAGAGAGGCTGTTCCTGTAAAAACAAACAGAAAGGGGAAGGACTTGAATACTCAAGAAGAAGCAGTATGCACATGGTGAACTTGCGTCACAAAAGACCCACACACAATACAGTAGAAAAAAGGGATACCTTCGAGAAGTGTTGCCGCGGGCGGAGCCGACAGCAGAGCTGGGCGGGGCTTTGGAAGCCTTAGAATTAGATCTTCTACTTTCAGGTGGGAAATTTGCTTTTTGGTTTACTTGCTCTGGCTGCAACCTGGAGAGGTTGGGAATTAAACAGCAGAGAGCAGTGTGGGATGGATGGGCAGTAGATGAGCAACACCTCAAATTCAATTTCACAAGCTCACTACTTTTCCAGCCCTACTCTCATCACTTCCTACACACCTGTCACCCCAATGGTGAGGACAAACAGCAATCATTACAAGTTTCTAGCTAGACATTTCTCATAAGTTAAGAGCATCACCCTTGTTGAGTTAGGGTTAGGGCGGCTAAACTAAAAGCCATTGGCTGAGCCACTGAAGGATATAAAGTTATAAATATAAATTATTCGAAAGAGAAGAGACAAAAAGAAACCCCACATGTGTCTGTGTATCAGGCCAAAATGACACACACCGTCACTGCTATTCAGGAAAGGTGCTGTGCTGCTACTGAATCACACAGCACAGTGGAACAAGAAATTATATTCTATTCAAGTTGTGAGTTTGCAGTCTGAAATGAATGTGACTATAGACCCCTAATTAACCTACATATTTATATTGTATCACTGGTATCGCATAACCAGAAATATTTGCTTAAACATTACAAAAAATATATATTTTATATATTTTATCTATCTATCTATAATATATTTTATAATATAAAATATACTATAGATAATATAAATATATATTATCTGATGAACCAAAAACAAGGATGGGTAATTGCATTTAAATTGAGCAGGAGGAAGAACCAATGTACATTTTCAAAATAAGCCTGTTTAAAGTATGTTGTGAAACAGTGTGTGTTGTCAAAATAAAATTGAATGAACACTGTTTTCATATATTTTCATCACTTTCACTGCCATCCTGTTGTCTTGTGTCCAAGAGTGACTGATTATATTGGCAGGCTAGTTGTCAAGCCGCGTCACTTCTATGACACCGAAGGCGTACTGTCGCTCTTAAGTTCAAGGCTGAAAAAAAAAAATCTGTGAATTTGATTGAAGTTGCGTTGAAGCGCGAGTTCAATAAAAATGAGTTGGATAATGAATATTAATGGAAAACTATGAGTGGCGCAGCAGGATTTTGAGCATCCACTGGTGTCATTTAGAAACAATGCTCTTGAATTTTATGATGCTTTGTGTTTATTTTTGTCCGTCTAATCATGTATTGTTTACTTCCAAGAATGTAGCCCCTACCAAACTCGGTAATACTTTCATGTCTCGAGCTGGTGCGAACTACCTGCCCTGGCTGTACGGGGATGCTTGGGTATGTTAAGCGCCCTCAAAAGAAAGCAATGCAGTCTACATTGGATGCAGAAAAGGAGCGCACGCGTGGTCAGTTTACTGTTGGTAATGTGTTGTGTGACGCACTTCACATTTGCTAGGCGGGGGAAGATTGATGCATCGGACCGGAGCAATGACAACATACAGAGGTAAAAAAAAAAAACGCTTGTTGGTCTCTTCCGCGTCAGAATTTGAGGTAGTGGGGGAAGTGATGTATGCCATAAAGCAATCGAATTTTGTAGTTCTTTTTGTGCTCGGGTTCCTACCCACACCTCGAAATTACATAGTGCCAGTAAAAGCTATACAGAGACACTGTCAGACTATGGCAGACCTGTCATTCAACCTATTGTAAGTCGATGTACCATCTCCAGGGTTTTGGAAAAATATTATAAAAGGTTGAAAAAGTTACAAAGTGCTGCTTTAAAGAAATCCCTTTCCTCAGGAATTTTTTCCCAAATAAAAGATACCTTTAAGTAAAACCACTTATGAGGTTTCATGCAACCAGGCCCAGAAAAAGTGACAGTAAAGACATTTATAACATTATTATTATTAGTGTTGTCAAAATATTCGGTACCAAGTCGGTACAAAACAGGGATGGAAATTAGCACCCGCCACCAGCCAAATGCGGGTGATTTTGTGTTGTGGTGGGTAAACTTACTTCACCTACCGGCCACCGTGGTGGATAAATAAAAATAGCATACGGATTCACCCGGACGGCGGACACTATTAGAGGGGGCACACCTTCAACACCCGCGCACTCCTTCCGTCGAGGCTCGATGAGGGAAGAAAACGTGGGAGCGTGAGAGGCTGTTTGCCGTCTAAAGGGAGAGCTAGCCACAAGCGCATGGTGTATTTTTAGGGCGGGGTAGCTCTCGTGTAGCAAAGAGCTAGCCGCGCGAACATCTAACGTTACCCGTGCGCTTCTTTCGTCAAGGCTTGAGCGCGAAAGGTGGGAGCTAGCTGCGAGCGCATGATGTAAATATGACAGAACAGGCATACCGTAAAACCACGTGAAACTGCGGTCTTCCGATCTTTTACTATCGTGTCAATTGATTTTGATTAATATGTGGGAGGGAGAGAGAGCAAGACAGCGCTTGTGTTGTTAAAAGACGTGAGAGTGCTTGCACGCGGCCGGGGCTCTCTCTCTCTCTCACTCTCTGCTCGTTTGCGCCTTGTCAAGCGCACCAGTCATTCTATTCTACATCACTCACCGATCAAAAAAGGCTTTGGCGGCGTCAAAAAGCAGACGATCTGACGGGTTTTAGAAGATTAAAGAGCACCTGTCATGGATTTTTGAAAATGATTGTTCATGTAGTGTGGAATATAGCTCTAAGGGAACGAAAACATCCTGCAAAGATTTATATGTGAAAGTGCACCGTATATAAAGTTATTGTCTTTCAAAAGTGAGAGTTGACTCTGAGTCTATGAAATGAATTGTTTTTGAAACGAGTAATTAGCTGTTACATCGTGACGTAGAGAGGTCATTGGCCGCTCCCAACAACTGAGCGCGCAAACTTGAAGTGACGTCTAGAACACATTCAAATACTTTAGCTGTATCGCATCATGTCGAGAAGACGCTGTGTTCTACATGGCAAAGACAGTTCAGCCACTTGTTTCCATTGTCCAGGGACGAGCACGTGAAGAATCAGTGGTCAAGAGTTCATATTTGCAATGAGTAATATTTGCAATCCAGTGTATATTAGGGGTGTAACGGTACATGTATTCGTATTGAACCGTTTCGGTTCGAGGCTTCCGGTTCGGTACGCATACAAACCGAACGATTGCTTGGACCATTTTTCTTGCCGGCAAAATTCGTGCTGACGCGGCCAACACAACGTTGCGCAACATCCAAATGGCAAGCGTAATGAAAGCAGAACGAAACTGCGCTCCTCGTTATGTGCTTCACGGATCGTTTATCAGTTCGGACCAGCAACATCTGTGCAGCACGAGCCGATCTCGATCAAGCAACACTGTTACACCGCGCTAAGAGATCTGCTAAAGAAAACATTTGAATTCGCCACTGAGGTAATAACATCGCTGCGAGATCTAGTGAGATGCATTCACATTTCTACGTTATTAACCGTAGATCTCTATTAGATCAAACAGCGCTGTCATGGAAACCAGGAGAAACACTGTGCCGTGAATGAACTAGTACTTTACGTCCACAGACCAGCAACATTCAACATGGATTTAATATAGTAACACTAACTGGAACCAGTTTGGCTGGAATGGTGAAAAGTACTTCACACATCTTTTTCCAGCACTTCAAAATTCAAATATTATATAAATAAATAAATATTTAAATGTTATTTTTAATGTGATGACCAAAACATTATTTGTTCATCCTTCAAAGATGACCCCTATTTATAAACCTGAAAGTTTCAAGATCTAGGAAAACTCACACTTATTTAAAAATATTTTTTCTTTAAACAAATAGGAAATTTCTCTGGCATTTCTTTCTTTTTGCTGTATCGAAAACGTACCGAACCGTGACTTTAAAACCGAGGTACGTACCGAACCGTGATTTTTGTGTACCGTTACACCCCTAGTGTATATGGATCAGGTTTGTCCTCGTCCGAATCACAATCTGTAAGCAATATTAATAATGTTTGCTGTTATGTTTTCTGTAGCATGCACAATATAGTTATATTGTGTTTTGTGTGTTGTGTACACTCCGTGCTGCTTCTAAGCGAGGTAAAGTTAGTTTTGTTTTTGATATTCACCAGACATTCTTCACTCTATATAATAAGCAAAATGGCACCACTCAAAGGAGGTGTTTGGGAAAATGAATCGTCTAACAAATCATTTGGGAGTCGTTGAGCAAATCAGTTAAAAATAAATGCATATTATAAGACAAATAAAGTGTTTTTATCCTTGCATGTCCCTCAAAAGCCGCCGCAATGTGAGTTTCGCCGGAAAAGCTTGCTCTTGAAGGAGACGCGAGTAAGGGACCGTGTGGAAAGTGCACTTTTTCTGACACGTTTGTTCACACACTATATACAATTTTCAACACTTGACAAGCTATAATCCTGGTTATGGGCGTTCCGTTGCCGACAGTCTCTGGCTACGGTTTACCAATAACAACTGACTGGGTCATTTGACCAATCGCTGCAGATTCGCGTCACTCAAAAGAGGTGTTTTGGGAGTCATTTGGGAAAATCATTTGGGAGTCGTTGAGCAAATCAGTTATAAATAAATGCATATTATACGACAAATAAAGTGTTTTCTATCCTTGCATGCACATTAAACTGTTTTTGGGAACTCCTAAAACAAAAATAGGAACATTTCAAACGCTATGATAGGGGCTCTATCATAGCCTTGAGCTCCATGCCGCTACGCATAGGCTTTTTAAATGTCCGTTTAGGACATGTCATTTGTTTAATAAAGACATTTTAATTAAGGAGTGCATCGGTCATCAGAGATTTCTTTCTCTACTGTCTTCATAAAAAGAATAGCATTGGAAAGGTTGTGTGACTTCAACATGACACCTGCTGCACAAATTCTGTAGGAAAAACTGCTCTAGATAAAGGCACACGGTCAGACTTAACCTTAGTCTACTAAACAGTTTTACATGCACATTGCCGATTGCACACTCACCTTCCTGCAAGTGTGTGGTCTATTGGCTGGGCCGCGGCTGTGTTCCTCTGTGAACGGCGCAGTGACCCCCCTGGATTGGAATTAGGCCGGTTGGACATTGGCACCTCTCTCCTGAAGGGACATACCCTTTCTAGACACTACCATTCACTAATAAGAGAGGTAAAAAGAGAGAAAAAAAGTAAGGTTAGTTGAGCTATGCAACAAATAATTTATTAAAAATATAAATGTATATAAATACAGGTATATACAGGCTCTAAAAGGTTTTGAGCTTGTCCACCTTGGACCACTTTCAGAGGTAGTCGAAAATGCATTCAAGTTCAACCGTGATAGTATTTTACCTTAAAACAACAATTCAAGGATGAATTTATTTAACTATTTGAGATAGCCCATCGGGCAGGGTGAAACAATTTGCGATTTTGCAAGCCCTGCAACCAAAAGATCAATTCATTTCTACACAAATGATCCATGAATACACCAAGAACGTGATGGAGGGGTAGGCGAGAGCGAGATAATCAATAGGACAAAAGCTTTATATGGAGAAGCTGAAGGAGAAAAGGACAAATGCTCAGGAAAACCAAACACTAATATGAATGACTTCTACACTGACCGACCAATCAAATCTGCATTTGGTGTCCATTTCCTTAGTAATGCTTGGCATCATCATGCTTGAGGCAATTTTGAAGACAACAGCATGTTGGCCAGCATCATAACACGCAGTGAGATAAGGCACATCCTGAGCATAGACAGAAAATAGCCGCAGGGGGCCTTGGTGTCCCTCCTCAGTTCAGTGGTAATGAACAACACTCACCATCAATCACTACGACACCGCAGAGACACACAATCCCACCACACCTTTATCCTGCGTGTATGCGAGATGGCGTCCTACAGCACCATCACTTAAGTCGGGTGCATGATAATAAGAGATAATCTAAATGAAAGACTATGACAAATGGCGTCATTGGACTCTAATGGGAATGAAAGCTCAAGGCTAGATCTACTCATGAAGTCACTTCAGTTCTGAGACAAATGACAAATGATCCCAAAATCATCCATGAAGAATGTTTAGATCCAATTTGCGCTTCAGATGTGTTGAAACATTTTAACTTGTATGACAAGACAGTTTGTTATGTATTTAAATCAAAACTATAAGCTTGAGGTCACCCTTAATGATTTGTCCAAATTTATAACACCAACTTCCAGAGAATGTCACAAAGAATTTAAGAAATATTTATAGAGTTTAATAGTTCCATAGAAGTTAAAGCTCATTATAAATATCCCTGTCATTTGTTATACGTGGATCACAAAACCAATCAATTTCACGACACAAAGGCTAAATCATGCTGGCTAAGTTTAGCAAATGAAAACCATGAGCAATAAAATTTCAAACTTACTCCACATCAGAGTAATACGGTTACTTTTAAAGTCCCCATGAAATCAAAATTGACCATCCTTACTTTGTTTGCCTAAATTGATCGTTTTGTGGTGAACAATTCATACATGCAAGTCAATCCACAGAAAAAAAATGTTTGGCTTCGTAATCTTTAATCAAATTTTAAAAATGCCCCTGCCCTCTGCATTGGAGGACCTTGCCCGATGACGTAGGCTTTACGGTTTGGGTGTTTGCGAGCGCCGAGCGAGCATTGATTGACAGCGTGTGTAAACTTGCGTCATCCTCCATTTCAGAATGAAACACCCATTTTTCTAGATCCAATCAGAAGCTAGTTGGGAAAAAAAGCCACGCCCACTATTTTGCCTCATTTAGTATTCCGTTTCTCTCGAAAATACGTCACAACACTGGAGAAAAGTTGTTTGCAACTTCTAGTTCACAGGGACTTTAATCAAAAGTTAAAAAAACAAAGATTCATTTGAAGTCCCCAAAAATTAAATATGGTGGAATGTGTTAAAATTTGTCTATTGACAAATGGTGAGTTAGAACTCATTAAAACATTTTTCTTCGGTTTTCAAATCAAAACTCAAACTGATATGCATTCAAGCCGAATTATTTTTTCATCATGCATAACTGGTGTAAGACTGTGCAGTTCACTGATCTGAAAGTGTTATTCTCAAAAACAATGCTAAGAAACAGTTATTCAAAACGCTTTCAAAATTCTAATATAATAATAACAATAAAATACTCTGCAATGGGGTATATAATTTTGTGAACGACGGGTGTTTTAAACACCAGACACCCTGCTGAGCTTTGAGCAGAAATCTGTGTGTCTCGATTTTGACAAGTGCTGCAATGAAAATCTTTTGCAACCTATACGTAACTGGATATTTTCATGATTGACATACAAACGAAATTAAATTATCACTTTTAGCAGAAGCACACCGACATCTACAATATAAAATGTTTGGAGGAAAAGTGAGAAAATACTGAGAGCTGGAACTAACAATAATTTTTAAAAAAAAATTAGTCTAACATTAAATCTACCGGTCCATTCAAATGGTTAACGAAATGAAAGTGGAATGAAACCACGCTAATCGTTTAACAATGCATAGACCGTTTATCAGCTCGGAGCAATAATAGAGGTTCGAGGTTACAAGGTTAGAACAGGTTTACACGCACTCTCAAGACACCATTACAATCACTGCGCTAGGAGATCCAGTTAGCATTCAAAGCATTTCAACACAGAATCACTGCGAGAACTAGTGAGAAGTGTCAAAATTCAGCGCAGAATTCTGTTCTAAAATACAGGCATCAGATCACACAACACTGACATGGAAACCAAGGGAAACATTGTGCTATGAACGAACAAGTTTTAGAAGGTTTTTTTGAATCCACAAATTATCAGCCTTAAGGCCTGTTCACACCGGGACGAATTTCGCGCGCGCTATTCGCCGAAGTTTAACGCCTCGTGACTAAACAAAGGGCGCCAATGCGAGTGTTCACACCGACGCGAAAAACGCCACGCATAAAAGCGTCATTTATTAAAAAACACCTCAGGTCCGTTTTTTTTAGTTTGACGCGCTGCATCAAAAACTATCTGACCAATGAAATTGGCGCTTTTGCTCACGTGTTTGGAGCTTCTGAAGAGATGGTAAAACACAACTTGGGGGCGCTCAAACACAAAACGGTCGTGCAACGGTGAAGAAGATATACGCGTCGCCGTCTACACAGACAGGAAGAAATAAGACGAGGAAGATGCAAGGCAAGATGAATGTAGAGCTGCTGTTCTCGTTGGTGCTAGAACATAAAGAACTATATGACAAACGCGACAGGGACTACACACACATCTTGATAAAAGAGAACTTATGGAGTGGTATTGCATGGCAAATGGGAGCCATCTAATGTCAGGAAATGAATTTGCATGTTCACTCGGCTCATCGCCAGCGAAAAACGAAAAACAAAAAAACGCTTTGAAAAACGCTGACGAATAACGCGCGCTGATATTCGTCCCGGTGTGTATGGGCCTTTAACCGTAGATTAAAAGTAGTAACACTAACTGTAACCGTGGTATTGTGGCAGAATGTCTTTTTTTTTTTACACTCATCCTCTCAAGTGTACATACAATCGTTTAAGAGTGAAATTCAAGCACTTTGAGGAGGGCTTTCCAAGTGCTGTTCAGGTCTCTCCTCCGCTTGCGCATTATAAATCCCAGGGTGATGACAGCATAAATGACTGGTCATATAGAGCATACGGCACTCGCATTGAACAAAGTTTAGGGGAAGCCAGGATGCATATCTCGTAATAAACATACTCGTGTCTGTTTTTTTTTGTTTTTTAAAACAGATAAGTTTGTGTCATAAGATGTTAGAAGAACCACAGTGCAAGTGTGCAGAACCGTGGGTGAGGACCCTTAATATCGACTAATAATAGAAAAAAATTTTATCGAGATACAATGCCCTATGGCCATATTGGCCAGCCCTACTTAGGGGTTCATATGAGGCTATTAAATAACTTTTGTGGATAAAATAAAAGCCTACATTGCAACATTTGTCTAGTATAGGGGTAGGGTTGGGTATCGAGAATCGAGTATCGATTGGAACCGAGACTAACTTTTCGTTTTTCCCGGAATCGTTCAAAAGTTGAAATTTCGATTCCTAGTTTCGATATTCACAGTCCGCCGAGCGGAAGAAGAAACCGCTTAACGAAGAAGCGTCTACCGGAAGTGTTGGCATAACCACGCGAGTCGAACATGAGTACCTTGCGTCGGCGATCCAAAGTGTGGCTTCACTTTTCTAAAAATAACGAAATCTCGGCAAAATGCAAAATTTGTGACAAAAGGAGTATTTTTACAGAAGGAGTATTTCCTTCAGAAAGGATTATTTCCTTCAGAAAGGCCGTTGGTTAGCAAGGTTAGCTAAACTTTTTTTGACCCTGCCTCTTAAAAGAATCGGAATCGAGAATCGTTAGGAACCGGAATCGAAACAAGGAATCGGAATCAGAATTGTTCAAATTCAAACGATACCCAACCCTATATAGGGGGTTGTGAGATGGGGGGGCAGGGATTTCAGAATATTAGCCTGGATACATTTTTCTCAGGGCAAATGTCATTTTAAATATGGATGCTCCAGCCACTAAACATGGATCCTTGCAGGAGAGTGACATTTTAGAGTGGAAGTTAAGGCAAGTAAAAAGTTCTCCTTTTTCATTTCCAGAAGGGAAATGAGACATACAAATGGACAAATTCATAGACACACATGCCCAAACATTTCTAACAGAAAATTTAGTGGTAGTCCAAATCTGTTGAACAATTTTCAAGGAGCCTATGCACACAAATTATCACAATTTGCACATTCTTGTCTTGCTTCTTAAAAACTCTACAGTTAAAATCTCTAAAGTTCACACTGCAAGACAGACATATATAATAACCTACATAAAAAAAACACTCCTGTTGTCTTAATTTAGGAATGTAGAGGGGAAAAAAGGCTGCCAAAGTTTTCTATGGCATCCCACCCTTAAACTTTCAAATAACTTGCTGAAGGCATCATGTAATCACTGCAGTGCAATCAAAGGCAATATTTTACAACCAATAGGCCCGGAGAATCAGACGTAACAAACTTAACTTCCCCAAGGACTTTACGGTTTATTCTATTACACAATTATGTTGAACAGAGTAACAGAGTAACAGACCACGGGTAACAAACAATGACG